TAGGATGAGTACTTGAAGAAAACTATACTTTGTCATATTACGGAATCCAGAATGAATATGTACTCCAACTGGTGCATTCACTCGTGGCGGCTATGCCCAGGTGCGGCCGTAACCCCGGCATCTTTTCATGCATCTCAGCGAGAAGAGATCAAAAATTGTTCATATGCTGCATTTTTTATAAGCCTTACAAGTTGGAAAACTTTTATGAAACCTTACTTTGTTTAAGAGCTAGTTGGAAATTTCGATTTCACCTGTATTTGGAACAATTAAGTGGATGTAGCCTCCTTTCCAATCAAATGGTTGATGTTAGTTTTTAACTTGGGCAGCCAAAGGTACTTCCTTGTCAGCATACTTTCTGACTGACGTGCCTCGAAATGTGCATGAAGTTTCGCCTCATGTCACAATCAGGGAAAGCTATATGCCCAACATGTTGAGTTGAACATTCGGTTCCACCAGAAGGAGTAGCGCATGGCGTAGTTTGTGAGTTCGAAGCAGGTAGCGTTAAGTGTTTCAGAGTTATCAGTGATTTCGGTTTCCCTAATCCCGTTCGCAACACCTTTACTCGAGAACATCTCCATCTGGATCGTTTTTTTACGCGAATAATGCATTCAGAACAGTCAAATACGACCCCTGATAAGGCTTTACGCTCCTCTCTTGTGCCCTCTCCTGATCCTTTCACCGTAGATACGATCTAACAATGTGTCAAAGTAGAAACGATTCCATTTTCTCCATCTTCCAAACATACTGAGCCTCATCATAAGGGTCTGGGGGGACGTTACCTTGATCAGTTTCTTACATTCGTATGTCATTGTAATGTAGCTGCACAAGACGGATTCCATAGTCCCGTGAATGTGTTACACAGTAACCCGTAGACACACTCAAGCGCCTCCAAACACCTGTCACATATACGGCGCAATAAGAAGGCACCCTGAGTGAAACACCTTGGGGGTGCATGTTGGTGTATTAGGGGGTCACTGTATAACACTTTCACGGGACGCTTTAATCTCTCCAAAGATGGCTGCAAGTGTGAGTGGTCTCGCATTTCTCAGACCAGTTTCATAAATCCGTAATGAGACCAACTTCGAGCGTATCCTCTTGAAAGGTTTGTAGGAAGATAGTAACAAGGAGACAAGCTTGCTCCTGTATCCTGATTTTTGGCTTTCAATTAACTCTCACTTGTTACATGCTACCAATCAAATACTGCAAATACATGAACGCGGCAAGTGGTGCACCATCTCACCGCATGGATAGGGGTTTGAGTCCTGGATAGACATCCGTCTAGGCCAACCAAGCCTTCCATCCCTCCGAGGTCGGTCAATTGGTACCACACTCGTCTGCGAGAATAGAAGCACTGATTTGTACATCCGCTGGCCATCGCATGTCGTTGGATAGGCCACATACGCAATCATTGCGCCACTACGATTCTGAATGGAAGTCGAGTGCGGGGCGCATCCCTCAGACGGGTTTGATTAAGTCCAAACTTTATCCCAAGTTTATATGCACTGCATATATGCACTTTATATGCAATATTGATTTTCGAGTCATTTTTCATTCATTTTGCTCGACGGACACTGCTCGCGTGCGGCGGCGCCTCCCTGCCTC